CCTAACGGATAGGTTGGGAAATCCGGTACATGTGGGGGGAAATTTAGCTTCCTTTCTTAACCTCGTTCGAACTTTTGGCCTCTGTTGACATCCTATTCACCGATATCAACTGATGTCTCCCTGTTTTTTGCTTTTACTTCACTTGTATCCTCTTTGGTTACATGAAATTGAATGATGTTTCTCAAGTATTTTGCCGGAATGTTTTTGGAATATTTCGGTTACTATGAGCAGCTCGTTGAATTATGCTTTTTTATTCTGCTTCCTCAGAATAAACAATGTTCTTTGTGAGGCTTCTGAAATGATCAGTTTTTTTAACTTTGAATGACTGAGTGACTGACTTCTTTATGAAAATTGAGCGGAGTTTTCGGTGTCCGTTCACTTTTATCATTTTATTTATCGTTTTGTGACACGGCTGTTAGTTATTTCTGTGAATAGATGTTATATGCATATATATATATCCTCTTTTAGGCGCGGGATCTTCAATAGTTTTGGGACAATAGGTGAGTTTAAATGTGTGCTCTTGTATAAAGTTCCGAAGTGTTCCAGAGTATATGATTTTTGGTGAAATTTGAGTGATGACAGCAACCACACTTGTGTATGCTACATACAATCTATTCACCATATTCCGGGTGCTTCACCTTGCCACCTTAACTTGAGCGGTACCGAGATTCACGAGTATAGTATTGCCTGTGACAGTGGTGGTTTTCAATTGCGTTCATGAGTAGTTTATAACTAACTGCATATCCCAATTCACGAGTTTTAATGCACCCATTGTTTTCCCGTTGGTGCTTCCGTTACTTCGAGCATTTGTTTACCCGCTAAGTTTGACGTAAGCAACCGACCAGTCACATATGTTACCAACCTATTGCAAGGAAGACAATAGAACGCAAGGTTTTCTAAACGACTCCATGCTTAACTCGGTCTTATGCTAACAGCTTTCTCTCTCATCTCCCTTACAGATAAAAGCATCAGTTACGTACATGATTAACTGCTTACCATTATGTGGGCTTTCTAATAAATTTTCCTTTAGATACAAAAAAAAGTTTTTTCGATGTTGGGCGATGGATTCACCGAGCACAAACAACCGCGAGGGATCTCCCATTCTGAGGGAACTAACCTACCTAAACACTTCATTGGTAAAACTGTACGCTGCCAAACAAGAGTGCGAGCGCATTTTGGCGGATAATCTGAGGTTTCAGGTGTTGAAGGTTATACCTGGGGTTGTATCATCAAAAAACCGCGTAAGCTAACGTTTGACAACATTTATTCATGAAAAATCCAACATCATAGACTTCGTAATGAGTCAACTAAGAGTAATCAATTGCCTGCTGGAGCGACAGTGGTTCGAGTCAGCTAGTTCGATGGCTGTGTGCTTAATATTATGTTGAGTAATACTGGGTGTTGAAACGGGAAGAAACGTAAGCCAATTTACCTATCTGATGCTGTTTCAGGAATGTGTGGGAAGCGATCAGTGGATTTGTAGCCGGACAACGTTCGGCCAGGCATGCTACTGGGCAGACGGTGAAACAAAAATCGAGATCACTTTCGACTAACAAACTAGGATGCTGAATGTCAGTTAGCGCGGGGGTGTAAATCTTACGGTGGATGAGTTGTGAAGAATCAAAACCACTCGGACTGGGTTTGGATTCAGGTGAATTCAAGTGCTGATTAGTCCTATGTATCACTGTGAACTTTTGTTGGGGGCTCGTGCGTACTACGCCAATCTGGGTGGCATTCACTACGTTTAGACATTTGGTCGGTTTGCGTTATGTACTTCATGTCATAACCACTTCTGTTGATGGGTTTTCTTCACTGACCACCATAAACACTATATGGCAGCTCGGAGGTTCTACAGCCGCTCTCCGCACGCGTACCAGTGAGCGCCTTCTGCTCTATTTGTACTGTGACGCCCAGCAATTTCTACCGCCTCAGCCATCAGTCCTTGTAGGGTGAATCATAGACTACGCCTCAGAACTCCAAATTTTTCTGAATTTACTTAGTGTCTAGTGTATTTTCCACCATTACTGAGTCATTAATTAGGCTCCATATGCATCTGCGTCTCTTTGCAGCCTGCTAATTTTCATTTGTGCTCATCAATTCTAATGTTCTAATATATGTTCCATATCTACAGGCATTAGTGCAGTCGTTGTGTTTGATTTTGTAATCACGGTCCCTGGTTCTACATTTCCTGGATGCACGATGAACAGTGCTTATCCTCTCAAGCGCTACTCCAATGTTAGCAGCATTTAGGATCTCTCGAACGAAATCTTTCGTCCCTGGTTTATATGGAATAACAGCAATCAAAATCCATGACATATTAGGCTCTTCCACAGATATAAAAATGTTCAATCAAACTAGCTGGAATAGAATTGGAACTAGTTATGAAATTCTGCTCTCTGCTTAAATTTGACCCACCGTCCGACCAACCCCTTCTGTGCACAAATCCCGTGATCGGCTGAACATTGACAAGGCAATACTCGGAGAAATCGCCTTAGGATGGACCCAGTGCCAATGACAGTTGGCTTGGGGCACAGTAGCTTTTCGTTTCCAAGCCACATTACATGACGTACACTCTAACAGTCTGAGAGTACTTCCATCACCATATACATTTTGGTAGGGGAATTCAAGTTATAGCAGCTGTAAAACTGAATTACCTTGCCCCGTTTAATCACGGCTGCGTCAAAATATTTACGGACATCCGGCCAAAGCTCGAAATTCTCCATAGAAATGTGTCAAAACTGGAAACATTGAAGGTCCCATTGCTAGACCCTGTTCTTGGGCGTAGACCAAGAAGTCAACACAGACGCGAGTGAGATTCAGACATGCTTTTATGTTTTTCACTATTTCATCTAACGCAAGTTGGTGGTGTCAGCCAATAGCTATCGTCTGGCTATTTCAATAATTCACATTTTTAAAGAATCTCCTTTCGTTAAATTCGTATATAGTAATTTGATATAGAAGCCCACAAGTACTCCATCTAGTTCCACAGGAAAATCTAGAGCTTTGCCTGCCAAGATTTTGGCCAGCTGACGAGTTGGAGAAATAATTCAGTCTACTATCAAAGGAATACATCAGGTACCCAAACTCAGTCACAACGATTTTTTCGCCAACCCATCAGCCATAAAATTATAGCATTCGCGATAAACGATATTCATCATTCTAGTGTGCTAGTCGAGAGAGATCTCGATTTTTGTTTCACCGTCTGACCTGAAACTCGGCCAGCCCAGTAATCAGCTTGCCTGACGAAGCATTGTTGCCAAAAGCGCAACGTTATTCGCTTAAAAATCGCTCGGTTAATTCCCAAATATTTCTGAAAAAGTACCACGTTGGTAAATTGGCTTATAGGTCATCCCACTGAACGCTACTCAGTTCTACTAACCTGCAGCCGAACTGGCTGACCCGACTGATCAATCCATTGTGTCCCGTGAAGTCGTTCAAGTAAAGCAAAGATCTACGGTCGCATTTTGTTGTCCCAAATATGTAGGTGTTAGACTTTGGTGTGACATTCTACACACCGCTCGTTGCCAGGGTTTTGTGATTCGATCATCCAGCAGTATATATTTTCTCATCATCGCTACTCACTTGCAGATTGCAATTAGCTAGAGTGTACCCTTACAACACTGAGCGCTAATGAGGCATCTTCGATGGGTGATGAGAAGTTTGGAACAAGCTCAGATGACAAGTTAATTTAGCTGATCTGTCAATGCTAGCAGCATGGATACCAATCTCTCATAGTCCAAATTGGGCCTATCTCTCACAGTGAAAAACAGTGAGGTAGGTTGTGACTCCAGACTCTTGATCAAGGACGACTTCAGCAGCCTAGTTTGATACATTGCGAACCCACAACATTGCACACTAAGATTGCCATATGTGTACAGATACAAATTACTTCAAGTCCAGTGTCGGAATGCAAACATTCTCTAGTCAATAGACGTCAAAAACTCAAGGGGGTTCCTTCTGAAGCACATTTAAAACTAGATATATTCAGTAGAAGCATTAATATAATAATACCAGATGACAAACTCAACTGACGACTCGTGAGTGTTTTGTTTGAAAAATATTTCTCACAATTTCGCCCCTATAAGATGATACATGTTAGCCTTGAGGAGAGCTAACTACGGAATGGATGACTAGGAGCCCTTTTCATCGTCGTGGTCTGTCATCGGCGTGAAAACTATGAACGTTAGGTCAATTTTGTTACCCACCATTGTTATGCCTCTTCATTCACAAAGCGCTCTTACTCTGTACATCGTTTATGCCGCAATACAAAGCTACCCCAATGTAGCGACTGTTATTAGGCGATTCAGTCCTGATATTCACCTATTTAGTTCCGCTTAAGAACCACGTACTTTGTGATCACGTACATGCCGTAATTAATCGTTGTGATTTTTAGTTTACGTCATGGTGGGCGCACTAGTAGTACACTGTCAGTACGTTTTCCAAGAGTTTGTTGTGTGTATTGCTCCCCCAATTCCCTTCTCTTATCAAGGGTTTTACCGAGTTGTTGATGTTACCATTCATAGACTTTACTGCTTATGCATATTGATAAACTTCAAAAGAGTCAGTCCAAAGGTTTGCACACACACCGGTAATTTTTTCCACTTCTAAACGTAGTCACGACTTTCGCAGTATATTCTGTTCGCTAGTCATCTGCTGTCCTGTAACCTCATTTTTCTAGCGAATTCAAAGCATGAATAACATGAGCATAGTTGGCGACACATTCGTTTTGACAGACAGTAAATGTTTGAAGACCCCCTCTATCAATTGACGACGATGTACAGTCATGTAATATGAAAGTTTATTTGACCATTTATCGTCATGTGCAACTTTTCAAACATGTCTAGACAGGTCCGTGAATGTCAATTTCACACGGGTCCATCAGAGTAGACACGATGCAATGAATCATCAAATGCAGATTGTGCGCGTGTAAGCATGCTGCGAATGGAAAAATTAAGCGGAACAGAACCGAGGAAACCATGTTGTATGTTGCGGCCGTCGTATGTAGGCGAGTCGACTAATGTCCTGCGCTAGCTGACAATCGTGCGCCTAATATACCTCATTAGCGCCTCGTGCAATCTTAACAAAGAATAGAAAAGCGAAGACGCGAGGTCAAATAAGCACACCACAGGTATGCGGAAACTGGGATCACCCGTCGTAGCCCTCACATGTAGGTAGATTTTACCTCTCAGCGATGTTGAGCGTTTCACCAATGGATCTCAGTGCATCCTCTTAGTGGATTTTAACGTAACATTCATCGACTGTTCTATCAATGGCCGTCCGTTTAGAGTGGGGACTGGCCGTACACTGAACAGCGGGCTGGTAGACCTATCCATAACAACGTACGTGATCGGCGCCTTTTGTAGCTCCATTTTCACGGTCTTACAAGTAACTGAGCACCCCAAATACAGACCCATATCCGGAATCAGTTTGGGAAATGGAGATTTTGGCGAGGAGCCTTACAATCAACAGCATAAGGGCTCAATCGCATGAGTGTCTTGTTGGAGCACATGAAACGAGAAATTCTGGGGTGGCCTGGACTCTGACTCTGTTCGGAGCGCATTCACTTAAAAGGGCTGGCTTGACTTGATGATGATGATGCTTAAACCGCAAATTTGGTATGTGACACCGGTTGAGAGAAACCAGGGAGGTCATGCTTATTAGCAGAATCCATGTGCTGCCCTAAAGATTGATAAATGTCGAGAACGAGAAGAGAAATTAGCAGCTGACACCAAAACGTCTTGACCGTCCCACAAGAATGGTCGACTGCATCCCGCTATTCTCTGCTTGCATGGGTGAAGTGGAGGCCCTCACTGAATATCATACTTTGATATTCATTGCGAAAAGCAACCAATAGGTTGTGATGCCGCCTCGTAAGCCAGATGCGGTTACCGAGCGGTGAATTACCAGGAGCAACATAAAGGATATTTTACTGAATCCCAAGTCTCCCAGATCTGATAGTATTCGTCTTTTGTGGGCAACTCAGTAACTTTGCTGAAAACTGCAAGTCTAAACATTAATGGAACTGCCGTGAATGGCTGAGTACTCAAATCATGCATTAAATATTATCCAGTGAACTATCCGCCAGTCAGATTAGCGTGCCGCACATTTCACTTAGATTATCTGCTACGTCCAAGCCAGCAGGGATACCATCGGAACCAACATCCTGTGGCCAAACTGTTGCTAGGCCGGAGAGGATGGGTTAGTACCTAAGAACGGCGTTGACATGATCTACGTGACTCGTATCAAGGACTCCCAATAAAGCGAATAAGGGGTAAGTTGAGGACAATTTTGGTTTACTAGGATCACACCACTAGAATAAAAAACGGCGCACCGATTCGACACTTTGTTCAAGATCAGTTCAGGGACCCAAGCTGTTCCCACTATGATTTAGTGACTCGGTCAAAACAACCTAACTGCCCCATATAGCCAGGAATGACGACTTCGAAAACTTAGAAAACTTGGGATGATTACGAACCAGCCACTTGGTAAGATTCTCTAGACCACCTTGTGTTGTCGTCAATAACACGGAACTTGCTCGTCAGTGTGGAGAACTGTGTGTACCTCTATATAAGTAATACATTAGTCATAAGGTTGCTGAAAATTCTTCGACAGCCCACGACCGATTTCGTCCATCTTGGGGCTCATCAGGAGTTTGCGTCAAAATTATGTTCTGTTTGAACCCAAATTGCACGAACTTAGCGAAATACGCTCATTTGGAAACAAATTTGGTTTTGCAAGAGACTCGTTTATGGGGAGTGTATTACGTCTACACATGCATCGCGATATCTCGTATATCGCACCAACTGGAACATGGGTGCAGCACACTAAGTTGATTGGAGATAACATAAACGGGAGATTTAGCTGGGTTCCAGGTGAGTATCACGCAAAATTTGTTTGAGTGCACTTCGTGAGCACTTTGCTATTGGAAATTAAACAGCTATCAATTCCTCCTTTCTTGGAAGTGAGTTAGTCAGGTAATTGCAAAGTGAAATGAGCCTAGGTGATATAGTACCGGTGATCTAAGGAAAGCGTTTGGCACCAGAACACTGTGGGCGTCAGTAAAGAGGATGCTGGGCGCGATAAGCTGTGCGTCTAGCAGACCTATTCCGACTGCTTCCCAAATTTTCTTACAGTAAACAGAACTCCGCTTGGAATGCGATAGGTTTTTTTATTTATCCCTATAATTAAGAGGAATGCCTACCGGGCCAGTCACACGGCTCGCAGATGACAGTGGGATAAAAGATTACAAACGAATTGACTCCCTGAGTCAATCAATTCCAGGAGATGTGCAACCATGATTCCCACAACCACTGGTAACCTTATGCTAAGCCGGTCGTTTTGCGGTTTCATCAGCCGCACTGCCTTACTTGTTGCACACAGTATGCAGAGTAAATGAAAAGGGTTTACTACTGATGCCTCCCTTATTCCTACATCTCCCTCCTCCACCCCAACCATTAAAGCTGACGACCTCATTGTTCCTGTCTCGGGCTCGGCCGTGACATCGACGAGTCAAACTTAAGCATCTCGAAATCAATCATCAGGCCTCGATAGCAGCTTTATCTGGTTCCTTTTGATTCGCGCACCATGAAGCTGGGCCAGGACAACAGGCTGCTCTTGGTCGCAAACTGGACTCGTTTGAGATGGATGTTTACTGCGTATAAAAAGAAGAACTCAAAATGCGAACACAGTCACTGAACTTACTGTCCCATCGAAATCTTGCAGCGCATCTTTGGAGGTCCAGAGACCGCTGTGACAGGCTGTACAGTGTTCATTGTCATTCCTAGTCACCGGGCGGAAGGGTCATCGCCTGACTGGTTACCTATTGATAGCCGTCCCTGTGCCGCACGTTTGGTAATCTGCGAGGAAATCTCAAAAGCTAGTTATTGGTGCCCATTTACGACTGTAGCTCTGGCAACACTAAATGCAACTTTTATTACGCCTTGAGTACCCCGTTTCAGATAGTGTTGTGGTTTCTGAAGCGGAATTAGTACATATGAAACTGAATTAGTCTATTTGGATTGGACTAGGTACGTACGAATAGGGATGAACAACTGCTTCAGCTGGGTGCAGCGCCAACTTCCGGAATAAAAGTTCTCGTTGCCCCGTGCAACCTACTGTCGGATCCTCAAACTGCGCTAGAATCCTTGACGGTGTATCTGGAGTCGCCTACGACTGTATATTCCAAAAGTGACACTCAGTGCCCGGTCCGGATTACCCAGTATGGTCGGACCGTGATAAGATATAGTTTCTTCATGCTTAGAATCAAGTGGGTATCAGTGTTCTGAGTCCGCTTCAGTCTTTCAAAATGTTACCACATCATCTTAGGAAGGAAATCTTGGACAACTGGATGACATCATTTTCAACGTGAGTAGATTCCTTTAAGAAAATATACTCCGCCATCTCGTATATGGCACCAAGTGAAAAGTGAGGCGGTCTTCGTGAAAGACATTCAAATACAGATTCAGCTGAGACTTCGGTTAAAATCAAACTGGTGTGCAAATGGGTGTAGTTCGCGAGTCTAGTACCTCAGTAGGCTCCGCATCCGATCACTTAACCATAGCCAATCTACACACCCACACCTACGTCCCACGCTACCCACCTGGCAATTGAAAAGAAAACCTATCTTCCAACGTGGTCTATTTCCGATGGCCTGACGGTTCTCACTCGGATATACACGAGGGAGATTCAATTTATATCAGTACTCCCAACACTCAAGCAAACCATAACGCAATGCGTGACTAGATTAGGTTAGACCAAATCGTGTTAGACAAGCCTCACTGTCCATGCTATCGCATGCAACTCATGCAATAAGACCAGTCTTTTAACCTTCATCTGGCACTGCATACCTATGGGATTTCCCTTCGCTTTCCGTGCTTTACATATTATCAAAACATCCTGGCACATCACTACCCGGGCTGGCGTTTTTACCAATATACCTATATCATACCCCACCGTTCTATGCCAAGGTTGGTTTTCCGTTACATCCACCCACTTATGCTTTAAGCCACTCAATGGTTCATAGATTCTATTGTACAATGAAAACCACTTAGGTGACCAGTGAAAAACCCAGACACGTGAATATAACATTAAATAGCTTTGCTACTCAGATCGGTTTGTTATGGGACACTGCAGATCAGACAAGCATTTGAGATAACAAGTACAGCCAAGGCATAAATTAGAAAATGCAGGCAGTTTGGTCCCTCATGCTGAAATATTTGCAGACATTGTAAGACTCAGTTAACAAACGAATAATACAAGATGAAGCTATGAACTTCACATGCATGATATCAAAAAGGTATCTAATCCATAGTGACCTCGAAGGCAAAAGTGTCAGCAACCGATATCCAGATACACACAGATGAATCAAGTAAGGCAACTGCTTGTTGGATGCTTAAGTCCCAGCTACTCAATATCCATCCACATTTTACACGAGGATGAACAGAAGCGAAGTATATTTCCTGAAGTCAGATTCGCACAAAATAAACCACTACTCACATAGGCATTCCGCAGTTGTCTGAAAGACTGTGTGAGTATCTGAGGTCACTCAGGTGCAGTACTCACAGAGCATAATGCACACGAGAGAAAATAAAAATGTGGCGCGTGGGCAAACATAACGGGAAAAGATGCCCGGGTGACAATAACATAAATAAAGGTAAATAACGATAGAACACAGGAAGACCAAACGTAAAAATTCATCAAAACAGGATGTGTTTGTTTGTAAACAAAAAAGCTAGACGTCTGCCAGAATACTGTAATCACGTTTGGGCCAAATGAGTGGCATCTGTTGGTGAAGGAATCCGGCAAGTTCGGTCCATCCCATACGATGCAGCAGCTGATTGGTAGAAGATGCAGAAAATAATGCTGAAGAGAGAACACTCCTCAACAAAAGCTTGACGATTCATACCGCTGAGAGAAGTGCACGTGTTTTTAAAGAGTGTGGGCTTCTCTGTGAGAACAAATCGAGACACCTTACTGTAGAGTGCTTTCTAAATTCACACATGAGCTGCTGATAAGATTGGATACGATCTAGTGACAGTACGTGGGGAGACTCAAATGTCCGATTGATCAAGTTTTGTTGCCAACTTCAAACGAAGCTGAAATTCAGTGCTTCCGACGGCAAGCTAATACATACGAACGACAATGACATCGAAAAATTTTGTTTTATCATGCAATAAATAGCCCAGTAGCTACTGTCCACTGGGCTCGAACGTGGAATTATTTCCTTACTGCATTCTGAAATTTGTGTTGAGGTGTAAGCGCTCAAATGATAAAATACACAGACAAAAAGAAATGAGCTACTTACACATACCACTGTATTTCACAGTCTGAATATGCACTATTGCAGACTAAAAAAAACTGCTCCTGAATGATGGGAAATATTGGCCGAAATCAAAGTTAGTTCCAATGTGAGAGTGTGTACCCTACAAGAATGTTCGTATCATCTATATTAATGACTGTGCTGGTGTCTAATGAAAAGTCGTGCGTCTTGGTGCTCGTGAAGAGGTGTAAGAAGCTGAGGCTGGCGATCATAGCAGTAAGAATCCCGCACATATGTGACGGGAATAAGAACGTGAAATCCTGGGTTCGTTTCCTATCCAAATGTGTTGCATGACACCTGAACTAAGAAAGCAAACGTTAAGAACAAGTGATTTCAATGAATGTAACCGTATGATTAAGTGCGTTTATAGTGAAGTGATAAAAGGCGCGCACATTACTCTTATCCTGCACTCCCTCAACCCATCGATGGCTACTCTTCGATATATATATATATAT